ATCTTGTACCTCACCAATGCAGGCAAGGTTGAAGGAGCACATGTAGAAAAAATTCATTAAAACTATATATTTATCATAATTTTACTATCAAATTGTACTGTGTGTGTGTGATTAGAGCTGAAAACAATTATTGTAAAATTAAATACCTATTTTAAAAAGTAAAACTTAAAACCTAGATGAGTGGCACCTGACCTTTTAGGTCAAATGACTACAAGCCGTGTTGTGTTGAATGGTACATCCCCAACCTTTGAATTGGGTTCAAATCCTCCCTTCCCAAAAAACTTGTAAGTTGTTAAAAAAAAAATCCTAAACTAGTGCATGAGAGGGTTTTGGAATAAACTAGTATTTTTTTTTTGTTATATAATAAAAAGTTATTATTTTTCATTTCTTATTCAATTTCATCCACATATCATTTGATTCGAATTCAAGATATTTTATTTTTAGTAGAAAGAGATGAACATTGAGTTATTTAAGTCGTTGACGAGATAAACTAATAATTAAATATAGTTTTCTTTCTTTTTTTTTTTTTTTGATGGTTAGGGTGGTTTTAGGTTAATTTAAGTTTATCTTGAAACTACATTTTTTTTTTTTGTCAATGATCTAAATAGCTCAATCTCCTTTTAATAAAAATAAAAAGTTTAATGTTTAAGTTATATATGTTTAAGTTATATAGCATGCGAATAAAGTAGGTTAAAAGATAAGAGATAATTGTCTCCCATTATATAATCAAAAATATAATTAAAAAGTGAAAAAAAAAAATTCTCTTTCAATCTTAAATATGCCCTATATCAATGTACTGTATATAAAAAAATTAAATTTTTACAAATATTAATTTCAAGACTTAAACTTTATATCTAATTTGAAAAGTAACACATCACTTTTTTTTTTTTATTTTGAATTACACAATAAGTAATTTTTTTTTAATCTATCTTATCCACATATTATGTCATTTAAATTTAAATATTTTAATTAAAAAATTAATACTAAATTATTTAATTTATCCGTAACACTTCGCACTTGTTAAGCAAAGAATCAAATCCTTGACTTGGTTGTTATAAAAAAAGAAAAGAAAAGAAAAAAAAAATATATATATATATATATTGTTGTCATCGTTAAATACAAATTAAAATTGAATTTGGAGCCAAAGGGTCCATTAACAATCAAATCAAAGTGTTACACACAGAATTAGATACAAATACAATGAACCAAATTAAGTTGTCCTTTCGACACTAATTAGGTTCATAATCATGGTCTGATTTACTCCAACCCCTAAAAATCACAATCTAGCAAACAAAATCTGAGGAACTAGATTCTTGGCAGGCGAGAGGGATCTGGACCATGTTGCCTCCCCCCAACCCCAAGATATCTGTCTTCCTTAGCTGTAACTCTTACTCTAACTGTCAATAACAGATTGCTTTTCTGATTTCGATGGTGATTAATTAGTTAGTGTTTTTTGAGATACCTGAATTCATTGAACATGTTCATCTCACTTCAATTCTTCTGTTGGTTCGATGGTTAAAGTCAATTATAGTCCCAGTACTCGATGATTTTTTACATTAAGACTATTGTACTGCGAAATCGTTATTGCCTCTTACTAACACCGTTAATTGAATGATGTTATTTAACATTATTTCCAGAGCACAGGGATGAGATTGAACGTAAAGCATGAGTAGAGGGATGAAAGTGAACAATTTCATAGTACAAGGACTTTAATGAATAAAATCATTGAGTTGATTCACAAATGTTGCTTTATAATAACAAGCGCAAGAAATCCAAGTGATGGAAGAAAATAAATTTTTTTTAAAAAAGGAAAAAAAAATCCAGGTGATAAAGTGAGTAGATGATGATGTAACAGTAAATTTCTCAATAATTTCTCTACTTTTTAATAATTAGTTTGATTTGAAAAAAATAAAGTAAAAAATAAATAATATCATTCGATTTCTTTTCTCTCCGTTCCCTTCGTTTCTTTCTTCTATAGATATAGTGAAATACAAAGGAAATTAAAGTTAAAGAAGGAAAAGTCATCCTCCTTTTCACTCTATTTCTTTTATTCAAATAATTTTTTTTTTCTACCTCTCCCCTTAAATCATACAAACTCTTGGTGTCAGTTTTCAATAAATCCCCTAATCTCTTTGTTAATTAATAATAATAAAGAGTAGCAATACCAGGAATTCTAGTATTAGGCACTTATAAAATAATATCGTAATATTGTTTTAATACTAAATGCAAATCACACTGACCGAATCACATAAAATCTGCCTGTACTTATCATGGTATAGTTTAGTACGATCTTACTCATCTCCAACTCACAGCCCAATCCCTCGTTTCCTTGTCCCCAAGAATAGCGAGGGCACTAATTAGCTGGCTACCAAGTATGCAAGGAATATCTAAAATGAATGGCCCTAAGACATGTGCCCCTCATTCAATTTAGCATGACACTGTTCATTTTTTTGGTAAAGATATTAATGTTTTCTTAATAATATTAATATATTCACATTATTATTATTATTATTATTATCACAAAAAATGAACCCCTGAGACATTTTAGATTTTAATTGTAAATATGTAGATGGGGTGAATAAAAAAATAAGATAAAAATTATCTTTGTTTATGTAATTCAAAATAATAATAATAAAAAAAAACCACTAAGATATAAAAATTTGGCATGGAGAGATGGGACCATGTTATATTGATGCATGGACCACTTTTGTCTCATAAGAAAGCTTTTATCCTCCATATTAGTTATACTATTCTGAATTAAATATTTAATAAATTTTTTAACTAATGAAGTTCCAGGTCAGTTGGTTAAAAAAAAATAAAATTAAGGCGACTGTGAGTTCTACTTCTACAGATGACAGGTTTTCTTTAGATATTTTTTAGAATTGTGTGTGTGTGTTCTTTTTTTTTGGTTTCTTCTCCTCTCTTTATTGCTTCTTGGTGGCACATATGTAGCCGTTGGGGGTTATTAGAGATCCAGTAATGGACTTAATTAGTTTATCTTTTGGCCTTGATAGTGGAGGAGGAGGAGGATGCAGGAATGGTTTTGGATGTGTCTGGCGTAAGTAGGGTGGGATTTGGTTGTTTATTTTGTTTTTCATCCTCGTTTTGTCCGTTTTGTAGTTTCTCTTCCCCTGGCGTTCTTATATTTGTCCATGACACTTGGCAGGGTTGGAGATGTGGTGTTCGCTTTTGACACCCAAATATCCCTGAAGACAATAGGATGCAGCTGGAGTGGTGCTGGGATTGACAGTGGTGGCATAACATTAGGTGATGGGCCAGGTATGGTATAGCAGCATAAATTGGAACTGAGTAAATACAGTTTTGAAAATATTAAAACGTGAGTCTCGATAGTCATTTAATATATATATATATATATATATTCAGACAACAATTATTTAATATTAATAAATAAATAAATATTATTTTATTTAAACTGTCAAGTAAAGAGAATTAATTTGATTATTATCACATAAAATTATAAAATTTTATTATATATATGCATTTTTTTTTATTTTTTTATACAATATATATTTTTTGACTGTCATTTATAGCATCAAGTATGCAACAATATTTACCATTAGATTACCTTGCTTCACAAGTACGACTCAAATTCAATACATCCAAAAATCGTAAAAGGAGATTACTGCTATATGAACAGTCTATAACAATAATAACTTTAATTAAATTTTGAACCCTTGAAAAAATACCTACTCAAATTGAACGTAAACAAGAGGAAAAGTATTTTTAGTTCTTAATTGATTAAAAAAATACCAATTTGGGTCACAAATGACATTTTTGCAATTAATTAATGACCTTTCCATATATTCCACTTTTCTCCCTTTCCATAATATCAAAAATGTCATTTTAGACCCACTGACATCCCATTTTTTTGGTTAAACTAGATTTAAAATGCTTTATCCATTTTTTTTTCTTACTTCAAAAATATAAATAAATTATTTAGTTATTAAACGGTTCACTTTAATTTAATAACAGTGAACCTTAAATTAAGAGTATTCATCTCTTATGAATCGTAAATTCAAATTTCGTAAAAACTTTTTTTTTTATCCTCCAATTAATTTGTAATTACTTACACTATGTTAAAAAAAAAAAAAAAAAAACTATTTAGCTATCATCACAGAAAGCCTCCTAGGCTGTCGCAAGCACGCTGGGAGCAACGTCTACTGGTGGCGCGTCCAAGACAATTAAACCGACAGGTAACTCAGGGAAGCCATAAAATCTTGTGTTGAATGTACACAGGATTGAAAATTGGCTAAACTCTCAAATCTGCTTCAAGTATGGGTAGACATAAATTTCCTCTCAAATTAAACACAAAGATAAACAGTTTTGTTAACTAATGAAATTAAATAAATGACTTTAAATCTTACTATTATTATTGAGATCGGGTCTTCTTCACTTTCTTACTTACACGACCATTTTATTTGCACATTGTAATAAAAATTTGATATCATTTGGTATTATGAGTTAAATTTAAAAGTCTTAATCAAATATATAGAGTTACTAATTTGTTTATGTATTTAGTTAGAAAGTAAAATGACTTTTTTCAAAAAAAAAGAAGAAACATTTTTACTTCTATTTATGTCACCAACTTTTATTTTTCATCTTCTTGTGGATGGAGTTGTGGCAAATCTTAAAATT